GGGTTTTCAGGATATGCCAAAGAGAAGACCACATAATGTACTTTTCATTGATGGGGGAGAGAGAGAGTGAGTAGAGAAGAGAGAGAGAGAGGGAGAGAGAGAGAGAGAGAGTTGCAAGGAGGGAAGGAGGGACGGAAAGAGAAGAAAAGAAGGTATGCAACACATTTGTTGAGTGCTTGTTAAGGCCAAAGAAAGCAATGTTTTCTAAAAATCCTTGAGGGGTAAAACTATGCTGCCATACAGTCAAATGAAATCCCTTGTGCCAGATCTACAAAGGCCTCCTCCCACCTTTACCCAGCAGCTGCATCGATGCATACATGGCCAGGAAGCCTAAGAACTGAAGCTGTTTGGCACCATCAGACTAGCAAAAAGGAAAATCTAGAAGAGGGTGGCTCTTTCATGAACACGAACACCCCCACACACACACACTCCATGATCCTGGTAACCATTAGCTCTCCCCTTCTGCTGCTCTTTTTCACTAACTTGACCTGGATCAGGACACAGATTTGGAGCAGTAGATTCCTGATTTGATGGGAGACTTTTTGAGATATTACCCGGGAAGGAGATTGTTGCTTACGCTTCATGCATTTTCTTAGCAAATGACACAGGGAAAAAAAATGCAAAAATGTACATAAGCACTATTATCTTCTTGTAGAAAAAAGGGAACATTAGTTTCATCAGCCCTGAACTTTGTCTTGTATACTCTGGGAAGATCCTGAAAAGAATCTTCCTTTGTCTACTGCCTGTAAGTGGTTTTATCAAAGTATATTTCAGATTTCAATGTATGATTTTTATCAAACTTTTACTAAAGCACCATTATATAATTTTTGCTAACTCTTTGTTAAGAACTAACCCCATCTATTACTTATAAACTCAAACAAAGCATTGAAGTTATTAGTCCTGAGACTACCAACCAAGTAGATTTGTGCATCTGTCCAAATGCATGCGCTGCCTGGTCAGGGAGATAGGATATCGCTGGTGCATGCCTTGTCCTCAGGGTGCCCTACAGCTTCATTCTTGCTGTAATCTCACAGGTCTGTGAGTTCAAACAGCAATGAACTGCTAGTGGTTTGGGACTATCAGGTGTTGTTACTAGAAAGCAAATTCTTTGAGGGAAAGGACATTGGCTTTTTTTTTTTTTTTTTTTTTTAACTGATTTGTCACCAGCTCAAGAACAGCTCCTGGATGTTCTGGGCAGAGATCAATAAGTACTCGCTGAATGGCTGGCTGAATGGATAGTGTTCTAGTTTTCAGGTGCTACCATAACAAATTGCCACAAATTTAGACACTTAAGACGTCCCCATTAGTCATCTCACTTCTAAAGATCAGAAATCTAGCAGGTCTGCTGGGTGACATGATTAGAATCCAGCAAGGATAGAATCAAGGTGTCAGGCACCCTGTGTTCCTTTTAGAGAGAAGTCACTTCCAGACTTATCCCAGTTGTTGGCAGAAACCAGTTCCAGTAGTTGTGGCACAGAGGTCTTACCTCCTGGCTGGTTGTCTGCAAATGGCAGCTTCCAACCTGTATGCTGCCCACAGCCCCTGGCTCATAGCTCATTTGTTGTCAAAGGCCATAATGATGGTCAAATGCTTCCTCTGCTTTTCCAAACTTTCCAGGCTCTCCCCCTGATACAATGTGTCTGCCTTTCCCTTCTGTTTTTAGTGGATTCATATAATTTCACTGGACCTACTAAGGAGATCTAGACAAATCCTAATTTAAGGTCAGTGGATCAATAACCTTAGTTCCATCTACAAAGTCCTTTCTTAGCAATAACTTGAGTAATGTTTGATTGAATAACAAAGGGATAAGAATATTGAAAAAACCTTTAGTGTTTTCTGGATAAAACTATCCAAAAGTACATGCATGACCATGACTGAATGCTTAAAGTCCACTGTGAAGAGGATATAAAATTTACCTCCAACAGTAAGCAAAAGTAATACAACTCTGTGGTCCTGGGATAAACTCAGTGAAATCTTAGGAGATATAAAACCTTAAATGACCATGACAAGGTACGGAGCTTAAAGATTTTCATTGCTATTTCAGAGTTAAACTAAATTATCTAGTGATTGAATGACTTATATATAAGTGAAAAGGTAAAATAAGTAGGTTCAATGTCTTCCGCAAAGTAAGTATGGTGATAACAAAGAGGTGTTTGTGGAAGAATTTAATTAAAGTCTGTAACCCAAATGTGCTCTCTGCTATTATATGGCTCCCTTCATGGTCACTATATATTGATTCCTGTGGAATTTCATCAAGATCACCTAAAATCCCATAGATCTTCAAAAGAAAAGACAGGGAAATACTATTTTTTAGAGTTGGTACCCTTAACAGGTGAGAATTGGATCAAATGACTTGCCCAAGGTCATCTGGCAGTAATGAGCCAAAGCCAACATTTGATACATGAATAGATATTACATTCAAATGTGAGTGACAGATATTCTAGAAATGTAAAAAAAAAACCATTGCCGAGGCAAATATGATCAATAGATTTGTTTTATGTAATGTACTGAAGAAAATGGAAATTTCATTGATCCTCTTCAATAACTATTATATGCTGGCAGATCAAACAACTCTTACAGATTCTCTCCATAAATTCTGATGTATTATGAAGCAAAAATGTTTTCGTATCATCAGTTTCTGTTGTCAAGCAATGATCAATAATAACTTGAGAAAAACTAGCAGTAAGTTCACCTAATTAAAAACATCAAACCAATACCTCCACTGTTTGCTAGAAGTTATGCAACACATGGAGTACACCTAAATTCTTTTCTAAATCTCAACCAAATTCTTTCTCTTAATTAAGGATAAAAGTGGTATACATAGCATGATCAGTTTGTGGGCCACAGTTTCCTAGAGGAAACTTATTTCCTACTATGCTTCTCAAAAGCCCTGTTTGAGAGCATTTACCTTATTTCATCAACTCTTAAGATGTAGCCCAGTGTTATAATATTTTATGTTTTATGTAGCATGGAGAAATAAAATGTGTTACTAATAAGACAATGATATCCTGATTCAGAAATATAAAATATGTGACAGTGAGATATATTGTCTAATCCAGTTTTCAAAGTAAGGCATCAATTATCTCAAAAAATGGAAAATAAACTAAAACAAATGAAGTGAAATACTGTGCACACGCCATGCACTGTCTTCAGGATTTTCCTGGGAATTGCCTAATCTAAGACTCACAGCGATGGTATAAAGTGAGTATTAAGACCAATTTACAGGCAAGGAAATTTCAACTCAAAACATATTAGTGCTTCGCCTAAGGCAGTCAAATGTCAAATCTAAATTAGCATAATCCAAAATATATTCATTTTGTTTTCTAAAAGATTTAAAATAGTACCTTTTTCGGTTTACGGTTTCTTGACCAACATACTCATTTTGGGACCATGGGCTGTATAATTTAAAAAACAAAAAAGGACAGAAGGCCAAAAGCTAAAATTCTGAATACTTACTGCATTATAAATCAGTTTTCCACCAGTAATGCATAGCTAAATTAGATAACTGCACAACATCAGGTATTTTTAAAACAAATTATTTGGGATACATACATGCAAAAGCAGGTATGCTATATATTCTGTGTAGTGTTTGCTATAAAACACTATTCAGTTATTCTTTGGGAAACTAGCTATAGACTTCAGGTTTAACTAAACTGAATGATATCATATTTGAAAAGAGCTGCTCTCCAGAATAAAGAACTTGAAATTATGATCTTAAGTAAAAAGAAGAACTTTAGTTATTCTTTACAAAAGGATAACAAATTAGTTAAAGCATTATAATGAAACTGAGAGAATACAAAATGGAGACTGGAAAAACATTTTAATTATATTGTATTACAAAGTAAAACAATTCAGTGTTCACATGATAGATTAGGTATGCTTTAGCTGTATTCACAACTGATACTAATGCTTTTTTAACCCATGATTCAATAAAATGACATTGCTTGAATTTGGATTATTTCTATTGGTTAGTGCTGTTCTACTTTTATTTCAGAATTGCTAAATGAGGAAAGGGACACTGATAACTCTCAAAATTGATTTGAATCAAATTTTAAGAGATATAGAACCAGATTAAACCTTATTCTTGTAGGGAATTTAACTTGCCCAATGCTTTTGATGCTAAAACCATTTGTTTTGGCTGAATAGCTCATGATCTCTTCATACTAACCACTTAGTTCCCCCAACAATTGTCTCAAATACAAAATAGGTATATAGATTTAAAATTGCTTTTGCCACTTGACCTTAATTTACTTTTCCAAATTGATATTTTGAGATAAGCATAGTCACAGATTATACATAGAACAGTATTCTACTCTTAGTAACTTACAGAAAAGTGTTCTTATACTATCTATAAAATAATTTAAAATGTGCATCCGTCTACATTTATAAGTGTATTATGGAGGAACTCTTTTGTGAACCTAGTTCTGAAAACAAATCTACTTTTCTTTAATTTTACAGTCTGCTTTTACCAGAAATTTATTATACCATTAAATTCTCCAAGTTTCCTATACATTTTTTATTTTTATTTTAAAGGGGGTAAAATTAAACACAACAAAACAAAAAAATAGAACATAAGAAAGAAATGTAAAAGATATAAATTTCAAAGCTAGATGACCTGAGATCTTTACTGTCCATTGTGTTGTCTCTTGCTTTCTGCCATAGTTGTCCAGGTCCTCGCATACAGAAAATTCATACACAACAACATAGTATAAAACTGAGCGGAACAGAATGAGGAAGGCCTTTTAGGTCTTCAAAACCAGACAATAGGGAAGTCACTAATGGCTGCCTTAGAGTCTCTCATTCTCTTCAAAATAGCTACCTATACTTTCATGTATATTGAAGTTCAACAAAACAAAACAGGCTGGGTGGAGGAGTTCCTTGGTTTCCCGGTGCTCCAGGTCCCAGCATGGCATGGGTCCCAGTAAACACCAGTGACTCCCTTCCTGGGCCACCACAGCCTGCCATGTTCACAGCCACTCAGTGGGGGAGGGGATGCTTCAAGCTGTTTCTTTCTAATGAATAAACCATTTGGCGCTCAAGTTCTGAAATGGCCAACAGATCATAGAAAGACATCTCTTTAGACTCTTGCTTGAAACCAACAGCATCAGGAAGCTGCTGACCTTGATTCAGAACCAGAAGTTTCCTATATTTTAAGAAGAAAATATTGTTCATTCCAAAAATCCTTTCCAGATTAACAATCGCTTAGTATTTAAATAATTTTAGTACTGTTGTAGCTACATTTCTCTAAATAAATAATTCCATACCCAGTGCATAATGTATTAAGCATGCCTATTAAGTGATAGTTTTGCAATGCAAGAATTTTCATTTAAAAAAACCTAAGAGATGTAATGTAACACATTTAAGGAATTAACACCCTTAGATTGCAGTAGAAACACAAATTTTAATTATTGTTTAATTTCTTGGTTGAAAATTCTTGGCATGTATAATATAAAATTGACTCAATTTATGCAATTAATATTATTAGCACTTAGCCATTCTTTTAGAAGCTGCAATAGCTAATTTGATGGGCTGAGGGGGAAAAAAAGTCAACCAGAAAATAAGTGCCTTAATTTGAAAAGTTTGAAAGTGGCATTAACGGATCTAAAATCAACTATGTTCAAGTGAACTCATTTACCCTGAGTCATTGAAGAAATTTTTTGTTCTATAGAAAGTAATTGTTTGACATATTTGGCCCAGGAAGAAGAACAGTCTTTAGAATTCTGTTATTAAGACAATAGATTAATATGCAGTGTGTGACATGATCTCATGATCTTTAGTCAAATCCATTATAAAAAGTTAGAAATCTCCCTTAAACATCAGTGGGTCCTTTGAATTGATTACCTCTTGCCTAAAGTGTGTTTTCCAATAATACAAATCTCAGAGGATTGTTCTACAAGTTATATTGCTAAGGTAGATATTTCTTTTTAAATTTTAATGGGATTATTGACTTGCTCATTTGTCCCACAGTTTTTGTGTTATTTAACTGTCTTAACACTGGCTAACATTTATTTAGTGCTTTCTGTGTGCTACACTCTGGGGTAAACATTTTATAAATCATCTCTTTTAAGTCTCACAGATTCAAAAGGAAGACTATCTTCTGCATCTGATTTAACAGATGAGAAAATGAATGCAAAGAGATTAAGCAATTTGCACATTGACAATCAGTTAGTAGAAGGCACTGATAGTATTATTCAAATAGCGAAATACAAAACAGTTTCTCTAGGTGTCTCCATTTTGTGAAGACTCAGTGTTTCAACTGTACCTAATTAGGTATCTCATGACAGTGTATTAGACAATCATTCAGATATATTGATTTCATCTGTCAGTGTTTAAACCAGCAATATTCAACTAATAACACTCCTAAACTTGGAGCTTGTTCCAAAGTTGTTTTCCTTTTTGCTAAATGTAGAGGTAGCATTCAGTACTAATTATTTACAATGATCTATTTATTTTTTAAAAGCATGAGTCGCTTTGATCTTGATCAAAAACTGTATCGAGTCAGCATTTTTGCATGCTATAGTTTATTGTAAAAGCTTTATTAAATATGATATGTGTAATATAGTTAATATAGTTAATAAAATGCTAAGTTAATAAATCCAATCCACAAAACCACTTGCACATCACCATATGGGCAGCCTTTTTGTAGTTATCTTAAAGCATGTAGTTCTTCATGTGCAATAATTTGTCCTTTGTATAAAAAGACAATTTTGCTGACAGCATTGGTTTCTACATATAAGTCATCATTGGTAGAATTTAACTTGAGACAACTCAAGACAATTGCAAGAAATTCACTTTAGAAAGAAGAGTTTACAAGCTATGTCCATTGAAAGAGTTAAATTAATTGTAAGTAGAAGAGAGTATAAATACTATTTTCGCTTTTTTTAAGTTTGAGGAAGATGAGTTGCTAATAATGATTAAGAACAAGCCAGGCGTGGTGGTGTAAACCTGCAATCCCAGCATCTGGAGGTTGAGGCAAAGGGGTTGCCATGAGTTTGAGGGCATCCTGGGCTACATAGTGAGTTCAAGATCTGCCTGAACTAAATGGGGAGACTCTGTCTCAAAAAACAAATAAATAAGAGTATAAGAAAGAAAGAAAGTCATTCTGAGATACAAGAGAGATACATATAAGGGAATAAGAAAAATATACATATATACATATAAGAAAAATATACATATATAAGGGAATAAGAGATACATATAAGGCAACAATATGATTAGAGGCACAAAAGGAATTTTAATAGGTAGCAAGTTTAAAACCTAACACCATAAGGACTCTCATTTTTTGAATGAATTGCTTTTAATTTCTATGTGAAATGAAAGGAATAGAAAAATACTAAAAATATATGAAAAATACCAAGTACAGTATAGCTATCCATCTGAACTATAATTATAAAATAGGAATACACTGGAACTAAAGGCCACAAAGTGTAAATGACTGAACGACCCCATGTATATCAGACATGGAAAGTATTTATTTCATTGGTGGCAGAATTCTTAGTTCAAGTGGTCTCCAACCTACTTGACTCCTGAGTCATAAGGGTGCTCACAGTGTCACACTGGAGCTTAACAGAATTCTTTTTCTTTATTGAGCCAACCGTGTGTTCTCTTCTTTCACTTTTCTCTTGGGGCCTTTATTTATCTTTTTAAAAGAGAATAAAACAAAGCAAAATGAAACAGAATAGAGTCAATCAAAACAAAACAGAGTAAGTGATACAGAGTTTCAAAACAAGATAATAAGGAATTAACAATGACTACCACCTTCAGAAGGAGATCAGTCATAGATACTACGTTGCATATTGTTACCCTCTAAATAGATGATCAGACTACCAGCTTTAGGCTTGCAAAGTCAATGAAACACTAAACACTGTAAGTCCTAAATTTTACTTCAATAACTATCATGTAAGCCTGTGTTTCACCAGATCAGCCCGTCACGTACAGGGGGATTGGTTGCAGGGATTTAACTCTTCTTGTTTCTCAGCCTGTGCATCAAAAGGGGCTGACATCTGGTTCCCCTCCCTGTGGCCTACGAATGGCATCCACTCACAGGAATTGACTGGCTTTTTGTTCTCCTTCCCACAGCCTGAAAATAGTGCCTACTCACAGGAAGGGGTTGGCATCTGGTCTGTTGATAGTGCTGACTCTGGGGCCTTTATTTTTGTTGTCTGAGCCTCTTGCAGTTCTCAGGCAGTTGTTCATGTAAGGCTTTTATTTGCTTCCTGGGTTCTGGATTCGTGGGGTGTATTTATTTCATGCATCCTATTTCTAGACTCATTGATTTTGAGTGAAGTTTGCCTTTAGTTAGATCCAAAATATGCTAAGACTCAGTCTTAATATGTCATTGTATTGGCATTTTTAAGGCAGCATTTGTTTCTTATGTTTTCCTTCTCTTTGTTTCTCCTGCTTTCTATAAATTTTAAAATCCTAATACATTATTTGGAATTTGGTTGCTTCTTAAACAAATTTTATTTTTAATTGTGCTATATCCCAAACAGGAGAATCTTGCTTTCTTCAAAAGGCTCAAAGAATAATTTTAATAGTTTTCTGTTATCTGTTTTAAATTGGCATAACTGATACTGTTTGAGACCAAAACTGTCCACAAATTAAGTAAATTCTGGGAATATAGCTCAGTGGGACAGCACCTGCCCTGCAAGTGCAAAGTCCTGAGTTCAATTTTGGGTGCACACACATACACAGACACACACACACACACAAAATCCCCCCAATAAACAAACAAAAAACCCCAGTATGTCACAAATTAAGTGAATGTAGGTCCCTTATCTCCATAGTATGAAACTTTAGATCACAGTTTTGGACAGAAAGGAAAATATCACCTTGACAGAATACTGTATCACACTTCAATAGATGTGTGTAGACTTACTGATTGCTTTTTGCCCCTTTGCTTATTATCATTTTATTAGACAGAGTAAAACCAAGCTGGCTGGATTTGGTGACATATTTCATAATGCTGGGGAAAAAAAAGGCTGTGATAGTATGTAAGATGTCTATAGTACCAGACAAAATTTTAAAAGAATCCAATAAAGTAGTCTTTCAATATTATCTTCCTGTGCACCTCAAAATTCAATCACTTCCCAATCTTATTATTTTTTCATTTGCAACCTTATTTCTACCCACTCTTGCCATATGTCCTTACTGCACTGTTCCAGTTCATGGATTAATATCAAACTTTGTCTATGATGGTAAATTCTTCCTTGTTCTCCATGCAGCAAAGAAATTACAGTTTACATCCCAGCTCAAATTGGAAAAACTTCCTGGCATTCAGTGTAATGAGCAGTAAGGCAAGAATGTGGCAGTAGTTTATAGCTTCTTTTTAAATTTTTCTATTGTTTTAAACCCATGACATCATCTTAGTTTTAGTTATCATGGGAAAGAAAATCCAGCCTTTTTAAACACCTCCCTCTCTCAATGCTTTGAGCCCTGCGCATAAAATTTTAAAGCAAGTGACATTTTTGAAAAAGAAAAAATGAATAACCTATCAATTTACTGAACGTTAGGAGATAAACAGGAAACGATGTCTAATTTTTAAAATTTTTCTCCTCTTTATTAACAATTTACATGATTACTTTCTATGGAAACTATATTTTTAATTTTTTACTGGTACATATTTGCAAGTACACAATGATTGCATTCATTGTAGGAAATTGGTACCTGTATAAATCACATCTTAATTTCTTTTTCATTTCCTTGGATTATTTTTCATTTTTGCTAGTTTATATTTATAATGCATAATAGATTCACTGTGAGATACTGATAACATACACACATCAAACCTCGACCTTTTGTTACTTCCCTCTCCTTCCCCTCCACTTTTTCCCATTCAGAATGCCTCTCCATCCCCACAAGCCTACCTCTAGAACCTATTTATAAAGAAGTATTCAATGAAGAAAGCAAGAACTCCCTGGATGCCCAGAAAGCTGGGAAAGGGTTGAACCTGATAGGCAAACTCCAAACTGAGACTAGATGATTAGAGAAATTGATGATAATATCTGTTTCAAGGAGATAGCAGGACCATCACAGGATGAACTGGTTCCAGGAGGACTTCTAGTCTGGAAAGGGTATGTTTCTGGTAAGAGTTACGAGAAGACATATTTGATGGAAAGAAATCCAAAGAGTGGAGG